ACTAATCCTTCTTTGGCTATGTGCAATGAAAATATCTTCTCCCACCCGCCTATAGCTTATCTTCTCACACTGTTATGTCTTTGGTTAGAATGAAGTTTTCAATTTTAATGCAGTTGAAGTTAGCAATCCTTTAATGATCTGTGTTTTTTGTATCTTAAAAAAATCCTTTCTTGGGGCACCTGGGTGGCTCAGTCGTTAAGCGTCTGCCTTCAGCTCAGGTCATGATCCCAGGGTCCTGGGATCGAGCCCCACATTGGGCTCCCTGCTTGGCTGGAAGCCTGCTTCTCCCTCTCCCACTCCCCCTGCTTGTGTTCCTTCTCTCGCTGTGTCTCTGTCAAATAAATAAATAAAACCTTTAAAAAAAAATCCTCTCATACTTAGAACATAAATATATTCTATATTCCTTCTAAAGCTTTAAATGGTTTGCTTTCATAATTAGGTCTTTAACTCGCAGTTATTTCATGTATATAACCAATTCTCTCTTTTCCATTTTCCCTGCCACTGATCTGTAATGCCCCTGCAGTCATCTATCAAATTTCCATATATGCATGGGTCTGTTTCTGGAAGTTCTACTCCATTTCATTAGGCACTTAATCTATCCCTGTCCTAAGACTGCGTTTGATATCTGGAAGACTACCATCTTAGTCTCCTTCAAAATTGATATTCTTGGCACTCTGCTATTCAATATGAATTTTTAAGTTAAAAAAAAAAAACGCTGTTGGTATTTTGATTAAAACTGTACTAAATTTAGAGACTGATCTGGAAAGAACTGACTTCTTTATGATACTGAGTTTTCTTCCCCAGAGAAGATTTGCATTTGTTTTTGCAGGTACCTGGCAGTACTATCAACCTGCATCCAATTTAAAATTGCTGGCAAGATGGTTTTGGACCATATGGTAGTGTGAATTTGGGCCCCACACATGCATGAAGACTGACTTGTGGTCAGACATTCACTAAGGAGATCTTCTGACAACCCTCTACCAATATCATAGTCTACATGACCAAGGTGGTATGTTTCTAGATCACCTTTATGCTGTAAGTTATAGCTCTTTGGAGTCCCAGCCTTATGCAGTTTTCTACTAGACTTCTCATCTTCAACTGGCCATAGAATTAACTCTCCTGTCCACTGTAACTCCTTATACATATTGAAACAGAAGCTCAAGGTCACCCGCATTTGGCAGATGCCTCCAGGGTAAAAGCCAGCTGAATACTTGTTTAGTTCTTTGCATTCTAGCGTCTACTTCATTTTTGGCCCTAGGATTCCTTTCTTTCTTAACAGCTCAACTACACATTTAAAAAATATATTTTAAAAATCTTATCCTGCATTTCTATTTTTAGTGGAAAGGTTGTCCAAGATATTTTAAAATCTTCTATAGCTTAATTTTTATCTACTTGATTTATGAGTTTGGGATGGAAGTGTATGAAAATCTCTAACTATGATTATAGACTTGTAATTCCTTATCTGTACTGTTTTTGGTTTTTTTGGTTTTTTTTAAATATACAAATTTCAAGTTATATACAAAAGTTCATCATTATTTTATGTTCTTAGTTGATTTTTCCTTTTATTAATATGTACTGTTTCACTTTATCCTTATTAAAGCCTTTAGTCTTCCATCTGTCCAATAATGATAATCTACATTAGTTTTCTTTTCCCATTTTTGGGCAGTTTTAGTTTTGGTATCTCTATAATGAATATACAGATGATTTCGGTTTTTATTCAAATTGCTGTCTCCGTGTCTTTATTTAATAAAGATCAATTCATTTATACTTACTGTGAACTACTCATATACTGGGTCTATTTCTACTTCTTGTTTTCTACTTATCATCCCTTTCCTTTGTTTTACTTATTTTTTTACTTTTTTAAGCTTTCCCATCTTCCACTGAACTGATCAGGTTTTCAACATCCCCTCTCCCACTTCTGTTTTGGAAGCTAGTTATACTTTGTATGTCTACTATTTTAGTTACCTTTAATTTAGTATTTTTTTCATTGTATATATTTAATTATATATTGTTCTGAAAGAGTCTGAAATTACTTAATATTTCTATCTTCTTCTTGAACATGACAGGAACCTTACCATATTACACACAACCTATTTGTTGTTACTATTTAAAGCTACACTGTACAGTTTGGTAGCCATTAGCTACATGTAGCTTTTCAATCCTTGACATGTGGCCAGTCTGAACTGGGTTGTGCTCTAAGTGTTAAAACACTGGATTTTGAAAATTTAACATTAAAAAATGACACTAAAATATCTCAATAAATTTTTTAATGATTACATTTGAAATGATATTTTATTCCTATTGGGGTAAATAAAACATTACTAAAACTTAATTTCATATTTTTTCCTTTTTAATGTTACTACCAGAAAATAAACCTAGACTTTAGTTTTAACTGTTTTAAATGTACTCCCCCCAAAAAACTAATTATCTTTCTGCTATTAATAATGAATAACATTTATCATTTCACCTAATCAAATTCTTCATTATGGAATAACAGTTTACCTGGATATGATATGGCACTGGGCATTATTTTCCCTTAGTATTTAAGCTACTACTTCATAATCTCCTAGCATCAACTGTTGCTGATGAGAAACCTTCTGTTATAATGTTGAATTATACCTCTGTAGGTAATCTGGCTTCTAACTTTGGTGGCTTTTAAGATTTTCTCTTTTCCTTTGATATTCTAAAGTTTTACTACAACCTGTCTAAATGTATATTTATCTTTATTTAACCTACCTGACACTCTAGGGTCTACTTTTGATTCGAGGATTCAGGACCTTCCTTAATGCTAAAAATTCTCCGCCTTTGTGTCTTCAAAAATTAGTTCTCCACCAATCTCTACATCTTCTTTTACTGTAATTCTTATATATATACTGGACACTCTCAATTAATCCTCTATGTCTTTTAAGTACCCTTAGTATTTTCGAACCCATTAATTCTCTCATCAGCGGTGTAAAGGATAAAATTTATCCCATCTTTTAAGTTTTTTATATACTAAGTACATTTTTAATTTCTAAGAGTTGTAGTTGGTTCTTTTCCACATTAACCTGCTCTTGTTGCATTTCTTTTGTTTCATAATTTTGAGTTCTCTTTAAATGGAAAGTATCAATTAACTTATTTCTTTGAGCATCCTAAAAATGCTTTAAAGTTTCTTCCAATCAATGGAATACTATGCAGCCGTTAAAAAGAATAAGATCATCCATAGTACTAATATGGAATGATCTCTAAATATGTTATTAAATGGAAAAGCCAAGGTATATAATTGTGTGTGTAGAATGCTACCATTTATATAAAAGTGTGTGTGTGTGTGTGTGTGTGTGTGCGCTTGTACATGCACAGACTCTCTCAGAAAGGATAGCAAGAAATTGGTATAGTGGTTGCCTCTGGGGAGGGGAACTGGGTGGCTAGGGGACAGAGGTGGGAGACAGACTTACTTTTCACTGTTTACCCTTTTGTACCTTTGAATTTTGTACCACGTGCATGTATTACCTAGTCAAAAAAAAATAAATAATTTATTTTTAAAAATAAAGTCTTTGTTGGACTACTCCATAAAATTAATTTCATCCAGAAAATATGCTTGTTTTAGTTGCTGAATTTGTTATGATATTACTATTAGATGTCTTCACGAGTTTCAGAATTTTGGTTATAGGCTTATTTTAAGTAAGAAAGGTTTTTAATTATTTTTTCCTCTCTTTCCTATTTAATGGTTTTATAACTGCCCCCACTTGGATTTCTGAACCCCTAATCCACAATTAGGCCTTATAATGACATTAAGGCCTTCAGTTTCATGATGAGATTGGAGCTATCACACATAAACATTCAATCACTGACTCAGTAATGGCTTCATTGAATTCCTGGCCATGAGGTTGTGTCTTAATCAGCCAAAATCCATGGCCTCAGGTAGTGAATAGCTTTTCCCTTTTTTTCAGCCTTTCACAAATGGGACAGGCATTCCAGCCAATGCACTGTGTAGTACTTCTGGCTCTGGTTCCTGCCTCATATGAAGCACTTTAGTACTTTTGATTCTTGACAGGAACTAAAACCACCACACGTCAGTACCAGACTCAAAACCCAGTGGGTTTGTGGTTTCAGCCCTATAACAGCTTGTGTCTCTGTTCCATTTCTGGCTCACAAAAATGTTTATGTTGTTTCAAAGCCTGGCTGTATCTTTTGTGCTATTTAATCTGTCGTTCTATGTGTTTGGAGCATAGAGGTTACATCAAAATTCAGTATGTCACCATAACCAGAAGTAATTTCCCTATTTCTTTTTTTTTAACATTTAAAGGATTCAGTATAAAATGAATATAATCTTATTACATAATGTTTAAAAAACAGAAAATTACTTATCATCCATTCATTCTAACCCACCCCATGTTAGCATTGAAAAATACTTCCTTATCTTCTGCATCATGTCATATTTGTAACAATTTTTATCATGATTTTAACATATTTGCCCCAAGCATTTGTCAATGTTGATATGTAGTCCCTGTGACCATCATTTTAATGACTGCATATTAATCCACCAAGCTTTCAACTGTTATTTACTTCCCACATTATTGAGAATTTAAGGTGCTTCCAACATGCTTTTAGAAAGAAGTTCTCTGTGCATATGTGTTTTTTCCCCTCAACAGTTTGGATTTGGGGGATAGGGGTGAGAGAGGCTTAGCAATGCGACTGCCATAATTCTACACAGATCATTAGCCCAAACACATTGCAGGACTATCATAATACATGGCTGAGGTTCATAATGATGACCCTGATAAATGAAGAGAAAGGTAAAATCATATGGAAGTAAAAAATACATTTCAGAAAGATTCTAATCCAAAATGGTTAATAGCAAGTTTTGTAATTAAAGGAATAAGTTTCATAAGGGATAAAATTCAAAAATCACAAATGCGTATCTAGCACTGCTGGGCAAGACATTACAAATTTTCATTAACTTCCAAATTAGATATTTTGTGTCACACTAATAAACTTCACTATTTCACTAAAATACTAACCTGATATTATTTACACAATCTTCATGAGCTTCAGAAAGTGTTTTTATGTGCTTTGAAGATATAGGGTCAAAAAGCAGAACTTCAGTCTGTTCACAAGCAACAGTCAGCACTGACCTGAAAGCAAAGGACACATTTCCCTTTAGTTTTCTAGCATTCTCTTATTATTGATATTCACTTATTTATAATTACACAAACTATAATGAATAACTTCTTTTTGTCCATGTTAGAAGCAAATATTTACAAGATTGAAACTATCTCTTCTTGGCAATGGTAGGAAATGGTACTCTCAAACATTATGGTGGAGCATAAACTGGTACAGCTTAGGTTTGGAGAGTACCCGTATCTACCAAACTTTTAAATGTGTGTACCTTTTGACTCAGCAATTCTTTCTGGAAATTTAATCTAAAGAAATAATCATTTACAAATACAAAGAAGCATATATAAAGATACACCTCACCATAATGAGAAATCAAAAGTAACCTAAATGTACATGAAAGAAGGAACGATTGATTATATAAGCCATGGTATGTAATACTTCGCAATATGGTGCAACATTTAAAAAGATAGAGATAGTTTCATATGGATATGAAAGAACTCCAAAACATTTTTTTTTTTTTTTGAGAGAGAGTGAGCATGTGTGAGAGAGTGCTGGGGGGTGGGGGTGGGGAGGAGCAGAGGAAGAGGGAGAGAGAGAGTCCCAAACAGGCTCCATGCTCAGCGTGGAGCCCAATGCAGGGCTCTATCTCATGAGAAAGCAGAAAGCAAGAGTCAGACACCTAACCAACTGAGCCACCCTGGCACCCCCAAAACATATTTTTAAATGAGAAAAGCTGGTTGTAAAAAAAACACACATAGATGAGGCAACTTAGAAAAAAAAAGTCATATATGACAAAATTATGTATTTATCAGTATCTATTAAAATGTACTGAAAAAGGTTTGGTATATATCCTACCAAACCAGTTAGATATAATCAAACAATCTTTTCCTTCACAGTTTTTAGTATTGTCTCTTGTTTCAGCCTCTTCCTATTACAAAGTTATATTATTATAAACCTTTTATAAGCCCCATTTTGATTTCTGAAAATCAGGGGCGCCTGGGTGGCTCAGTTGGTTAAGCGACTGCCTTCGGCTCAGATCATGATCCTGGAGTCCTGGGATTGAGTCCCGCGTCGGGCTCCCTGTCTTTTATTTACTTTAAGTCTTAGTTTTTTGTGGGCACTGATCTTTCAGATTCAAATCTAGCAAAAGAAATCCTGAGTCTTGGAAACTGCAGGCCTTCCCAATTTATAGTTCCAATAACAAATGGAATTTGTACATTTAAGATGAAAATGAGACAATTTAAAAAATCTCTATACCCAATGTGTGGCTCGAACTCACAACCCCAAGATCAAGAGTCACATGCTCTACCAACTGAGCCAGCCAGGTGCCCCAGGATAGAATTTTAAATAGCCAAAAGTTTCTATTCAGAACAAACTTTTTATTTTTTAAGATTTTATTTATTTATTTGACAGAGAGAAAGCGAGAGCAGGAACACAAGCAGGGGGAGTGGGAGAGGGAGAAGCAGGCTTCCTGCTGAGCAGGGAGCCCGATGTGGGACTCGATCCCAGGACTCCGGGATCATGACCCAAGCCAAAGGCAGACGCTTAATGACTGAGCCACCCAGGCGCCCCAGAACAAACTTCTTAGATAAAGTAGGAGAGGGGAAAAATCTAAATTGAAATATTTTCCATATTTAGTAATCATGAAATTGTCCTTTAAAGGGTGTCTGCTCTGCATAAACCCTTTTTTGAAATATCTGGACTTCAAAAATTTAGTATCTGAAGGATTTTTGTGCTAGTTGATCAGCATGAGTTAAAAATATTCAAATTAATATCTGTAATTTTAGAAGATAAATAAACAGCCGTTTCTTTTTGTTACAAGAGTCATGGAATGAACTTTACTCCTTTTTGTGCAAAAAAGTAAATGAATCACGGGTGCTGGTGGCTCAGTTAAGTGTCCAACTCTTGTTTTCGGCTCAGGTCATAATCTCAGGGTTGTGAAATTGAATCCCGCAGCAGGAGGAGCAGGCTCCTCTGTGCTGGGCATGGAGTCTGCTTAAAATTCTCTCTCTCCCTCTCCCTCTAACCCTCCCTCATCACCCTCTACACTCTCCCTCTCTAAAACAAAGTAAATGAATTGGCGATTCTGGGAGAGTCTTAAACTTTGTAAGAGATTTATAAAACTGATAGTCATTGCTTTGTTTAATACAATCTATTTTTGTACATGGCCTGATTTGTAACTTTTTAAAATGAGTATCATTTGTCCCAATATCAAAGCCTATACTTTTCTCATTGGTTTGAAATGTGATCTTTATCATATGTTATGTTTTTGGATTCTATATCTTATTCTATACAACATCACCATACTATTTTAATTTCTAAAAGGTTTCACATATGCAAAACAAGATGAACATTATGAACTTTTTTTTGAAGGGCTAATATGCTTTCTCAATGGGGTGGGGGGAGGCTAATAATAATATGCTTTGTCTTCCAATGAATTTTAGATATGGTATGTCAGGTCCTACTAAAAAATCTTGTTAGTATTTTTACTGGGATGCACTGACTTTACAAATTAATTCGGTAGAATTTATATCATTCAATACTGAATCATCCCATCACTAACATATGTATCTTCCCACATATTTTAGATTTTCTTAGCAAGAGTATCTTAGCAATTCTTGGGCCTTTAAACATCCTTATACACTTCGAATCAACTTAATCAAGTTATGTACACACACATACAAATCCAGCTATGGATTTTGAGACTATAATAAATCTATAGAAGAGTTTGCATACAGAGCACCTGGGTGGCTTAGTGGGTTAGGTGTCTGACTCTGGCTCAGGTCATGATCCCAGGACCCTGAGATCAAGCCAAACTGAGGCTCCCTGCTCAGTGGGGAGTCTGTTTGTCCCTGTCCCTCTCCTTCTTCCCTCTGCCCATTCCCCTACTTGTGCTCCTTTGGTCTCTCTCTCAAATAAATAAAATCTTAAAAAAAAAAAAAAGTTTGCGGCACCTGGGTGGCTCAGTCGTTAAGCGTCTGCCTTTGGCTCAGGTCATGATCCCAGAGTCCTGGGATAGAGCCCTGCATCAGGCTCCCTGCTCCGCGGGAAGCCTGCTTCTCCTTCTCCCACTCCCCCTGCTTGTGTTCCCTCTCTTGCTGTGTCTCTGTCAAATAAATAAATAAAATCTTAAAAAAAAAAAAGTTTGCAGAATTGAGATCATTACAATACGAAGTCTTTCAATCTATGTACACGGTGTATTTCCATTTACCATGGAGACTTTCTCCATATGGGTCATGCCTACCTTCTTAGATTTATTCCTGGGTATCCGACACTTTTTTAATGATTTTGTAAATGTTCTTTTTAAAAATTTGCTTTGTTTGTTGTTGGTGTACAGAAATGCAATTGATTTTAAAATTATTTATCCATCAATCTTGCTATTTTAATACTTTATCTGTAGGTTATTTTAGGTTTTCTTTGTCAATAATCATATCATGTACAAACAAATGCTTTGGTTTTTTTTTAATACTTTGTTACTACACTAGCTAGGACTTTCAGTATAATGTTAAATAGAAACGTTAATATTAGCAGGCACTCCTCTTATGATTTTCAAGAATACCTTCACCGTTTCATCATTAAGTACAATGTCTGCTGTGGAATTTTTCTTTTTTGGGGGGGTAGATTCCTATTATTGGATTAAGGAGGTTCTACTTCAAATTTGCTGGGGGTTTTTTTTTTCATTATTTTCAACTGCATAAAACGGTTTTCCAACATTTACTGAAATTACCCTGTATTTTTCCTTCAGTATGTTAATGTAGTGATTTACATTATTTTATTTTCTACACTTTTCATTTCTACCGTACTGCTTAATCAGTTGGCTAAAATGGTGGGCTCACATTTCTGGCTTCCCTCCTTTTGTAGATCCTGGCCCTGCAATTTACTAACTGCCTTAATTCTCCAATCTCTTCAAACATAAGCTTTTTATATCTTACATTAAACATTTTATATTTTTTCTAGCTTTTCTAATTATTCTCTGTTGAAGGGTTGGCCCAAACCACCTGCTTTACTACTTTTGGAAAGCTAAAATCTCTACCTCTTGCATCTGAAGTTATGTTCCCTTTTCATTCTGAGTATTGTTTACTTGGGGATTCTTTTTTTTTTTTTTTAAGATTTTATGTATTGAGAGAGTGTGCAGGAGAGCGGGGAGTGGTGCAGAGGGGGAGGGACGAGGAGATTCAGCACTGAGAGCCCTAGATGGGACTTGATTCCCCACAACCACGAGACCATGACCTGGGCCGAAATCAAGAGTAGAACACTCAACTGACTAAGCCACGATTCTCTTAATCAATTTGAGTGTTTTTCATTTTTATTTGTCTTTTCAAAGACAAAATTTTCTGTTGAGTATTTGTATTGAAATTCTCTTTGTTACTATATTTCCTTTCTTCTGCTTTCTTCACTTACTTTGCTATTATTTACAGATAACTTCACTATTCTCTATTTCTTGAGATGGATACTTAGCTCATTAATTTTCCTTGTCTTCCTTTCCAGTTTATTAATGACTATAATTTTCCTAGTAAGTACTGTTTTACTTATATCCTACAAGTTTTGAGACATATGGCACTTTCATTATCATTTAGTGTTAAATATTTCTAACTTCCATTATCATTTCTTATTTGGCCCATGTTATTTATAAATGTTTCTCAACTTGAAAACACATGGAAGTTTTTCTAGTTATCTTTTTGTTATTCATTTCTAATGATCACATTGTACTGAGAAACTGTACTTCCATGATAACCTTTTGAAATGTGGCCTTTTAAGTGAAAATTTGTAAATCTTCCATTTTGTTTGGGAAAAAAGCAAGCAGGAGATAGCTGTTACATATAGTCAAGTGTGATATTTAAAAATGTTTAACATTCAATAGTAATATAAATTAACATATGAAAAATTTTAAAACATTTTCAAAATAAACTAACCTATAATTATGTATGCCAACTGATAGTTCTAAGTAAGTTGCTCATCAACTTAATTTCCATTATTTATTAACTTTTGGAAATTATAGCCATAATCTTTTCTTTGA